GAGATAGAAATGGCGATAACCTCTTAAAGACGGAGTCTGCGAAGGAACCACTAGAGTGATCTTGGACCGTAAAAGCGAAAGGGGTAAAGTGGACAGTAGGGTTTCCAATTTCGCGGGTTTTTCCCTGCCCAGGAATGTAATTGTCGTTCCCGGGAGATTCCCGGAAATACATCCAAATTTCAAAAAATTTAAAAAAAAGTTGTTTTTAAATAAAATCAATAATAATTGTATAAAATGCGTATATATATAAATTCCAAAATTAATACATATTTATATAATCAGCTAAAAATACAAAAAATATATAATAAATTGATTATTCTTTTTTAAAATAGGATTTCAAAAACTTTAGCCCCTTTATTTTTTATCCTCACCCCTAGTTCAACTTTGGCGAACAATTCGGCAAAAAAATTGTTTTTTGGTTTCAACTGATGCGGAGGTTGTTTTAATGCCTCACATAGTTTATAATGTTTGGTGATGGATTTTCAGTCAGTAACAACTGTATCTCTTGTTTCATGATTTTTTTTAAAAACAAGTATTTTTTATCGTTAAACAATGAAAAACTTTTTTTTTAGATTATATATTCCTTTTTTAATTTTCGTCCAACGTCGGGGTTTTTTTTTAAAAATTTCCCCTTTTTTCCGGGGGAAGAGTTGGATTTGATTCCCCTTTTGTAAAAAAAGCCTTTCCCCTATCTTTGCTTGTCAAACCAAAAAATTTTTTTAAGGGAAACAAAAAATTTAGACAGTAACCACAGCTGTTTTGTATTTTCCCCCAAAAATTGGGTTTCATTTCCCAAATTCAAACTCATTTCAAATTTTAAACAAGTAAAATAAATATGTGGCTACGAGTGTTTCTCAATTTAAAAAAAAACATTTATTAGATATTTACGGTGCAAAAAAAAGGTTAAATATTATCGCGCACCTAAGCCTCTTCCCTCCCCGCATCTGGGGAATTCTCCTCCCTCTCTCCTGGGAAACCCTTTTCCCCCCCCGTTGCGACACGGTGAAGGAAAAACCCAAACGCTCGCCCCCCATCAGGTCAACCACCCCTTCGCTCCTTGGGTGCTTTCACAACATCAGGCATTGCATTAATCCTATTAAATTAACGTTGCGTCTCTCACTAATAATCTTTGGATTACAGAATACTTCATATTTTTCACAAATTCTGAGTTTTGTTCATTCAATTCTCCAATAACGAAAGAAAATACATCTTCTGCAGTCAGCAAAGTTGCATTTCGACTGCATAATTTTTCTAAGCCAATTTTTTCTGACTTGACGACTGTTGCAATTGAAGTCACAATTTCAAACTCTACATTGGCCATCATTTGTTCTTTTTAAATGAAAATTAATGCTTTTAAAATTGCTGACTTTATTCCTAAAAATCTTTCAAACATTGCCAACAAACTATTCCAGAGTGTTTTAGTATCCAAGCAAACCACCTTTTCACAGTTAAACTCTTCTTTAACATATTTTTGTAAAATATCATTCTTGAGAAGTGATTTTCTGAATAATTTTACTACATTTCTAAGCCCCATGCGATTCCCGGGAACGAAATATAATTTCCGGGAATACAGAAATCTTATGATTTCCCGGGAAAGAAACCCTTGGGGACTGCCGCACCCGGGAGCCGATCATCTTTCAAGATTTCTTAACCTTAAACGGGACTAGAACTTTTCTCCAGCGAAAGGCTGCGAAAAGCAAAAATTTACTACTGAATATAATGTTTTGTTTAATTTATTTGGAATAAAATGCCTTTTGGCAAAAGCTGTGTGAGCCCTCACAGTACCCAGTAAAATAGTAACCTTACTGACTCACATTGTTACACACAGTACATTACAATAATATATAAAATATAAACTTTGTTTATTTTTATTGTAAATATGATAACATTTATATATTTTTTATGCATTGGGACCAATAAGAAAATACTTCATTTGATAATTTATCCAATTCTGTTATGAAGATAATGAGTAGATTTTTAAACCAGTAATGCAGTTCAGCTAATCACTAGTTATAAGTTTTCTGGTCTATAAATGCACATACCAAATTATGTGTCCAAATTCTCCGCCAAGACCGTTATCTACACTAATCAAAGAAAGTCCACGAGATGGCACAAAAACAAAACGACTGAGATGCGTGAAATTTGGCACGTTGAAGGTATAGGTGCACTTATAGCGCACATCTCAATGAGATATTTTCGGATTTCGGTTTCAGAATTTTTAAAATACAGTTTCAAGCTATACTTCATATAGCTAGCGATATGATGTCACGTTTATCTCTGAATATGAAAATGTATGCCTTAGGCCAGTGTTTCTCAAACTTTTAGTATTTGCGACCCGATATTCAGTCATAAATTTCATCGCAGCCCCCCCTAACTCCTTAGAATAAAATGTACTGAATTCAATAATACCAAACTTTGACGCTAAAGCTACAATACGATTTAACCTTTTAAGTACCACCGGTGTATATAAACGTCTCGCTAAGCCAAAGCTTTAATTGTCTCGGACGTATATATACGTCTTTCTGAAATACGATGTTTTCCGTGCACTGCTTTCCATAAAATTATTCCGAAGGCTTTGAAACGCAATAAAGAATTTTGACAATGTTTGCGAAGGATTTACTTATTTCACAAGAATTGCTTATTTTTTCTTCCCCCCACCCTTCCTCTCAATAAATCCCATACGCACGCCTACTTGGAAAACGGTATCATAGGGGAGCGAATCACTTAGCTTTTAATCAGCAGTTAAAGGATTAATTTTAAACCGTACAAATTATCAAAATAAGTGTTAATCTTTGTATATAATTAGAAATATGACAAGCCCTTGGGGTCACTGGTAATTATTGAACTTGTTCTAACTTAGTATTGTTGAATTAATTATAAAATACATTGTGCAGTACTGATGCCTTTATAAGTGTATTATGTGAGTGTAAGTGTAAATTGTATTTTTTATTATGTCACAATGTATTTTATTTGTTTTTACTTTCAGTAAATTAATAATTTTTTTAAAAATAATTTTTACAATAAATGCCTTTTAGTAAAAGTTTTTGTTACTAAAATAAAACGTTTACGATATTTCTTTAAAAAGTTTTCCTTTTCATTTTATTACAATTCATATTTTTAAGGCGTGATGCTTTAAAAATAAATATTATTGAAACTACAAGTATTTAAAATAATATATTAGCTTTTTTATTAATTATTTATTTATAAATAATTAATAAAAAAAGAGAGTAGAAATAAATTATAGTTTAATAAAAAACTAAAAAAACATGCTTTTATGGTAAATCGAACTAAAAAGTAAAAAAAATAGTTCTTAGTATAAGAATAAAAGGATTTGCGAGAAAATTAATGCCATTGGGGTAAAAGCGTGGGGAACTCTATATCAATTGTTATAATTTCTTTCTAGTTCTATTCCGAAATGCTGAGTTAGTGTAAAAATGTAGTACAAAGCACACCCTACTCTTTTACCGCAATGGCATTAATTTTCTCGCTCTAATCATTTTATTCTTATGTTAAGAATTATTTTTTTTTACATTTTAGTTCGATTAACCATAAAAGCGCGTTTTTTTTTTTTAGTTTTTTTTACAACTATAATTTATTTTTCATTTTTTAGTTCGATCTACAATAAAATCATGCATTTTTAGTCTTTTAAACTATTTTTTTATTTATTGATGAATTAATCTTAAATGCGTCATTTTTTAGATTCTGGAATACCCATTGGCCTTCTATCAGTTAATCTCACTTCGAACTTCAATTGATTGATTGATTGATTGAATGAATATTAACGCCGCACTATTCAGCTACACGAGGGGTTTTGGCGACGGACCACGTCATTTTGAACCATGGTCAAGTGACGTGGACGACACCTGAGCTGGAACCCCCTTTCCTAACTACCACACCACACCAACGGGAGGACGTTTTAGTTCTCGACAGATTTAACGTGCATCGCTGCCTTACACGGCGGGTCTTTAGTGGTACTGGGCTCGAACTCGTGACGAGGCAAGCCACCATCCGATACCTGTACCACTCGGCTACCACGGCCACTCGAACTTCAATAAAAGGAACTTTTAAAAAGGAAATCATAATTTCATTAATCTAATTAACATATTTAAATTGTAATACTTGTATATTGTTTTTCAAATTTTTCAAAAATTTATCTTGGCCCGTCAAACATTTTTTTTTTTTAAATTTTTGACCGCGACCGAAAAAGTTTGCCCATCCCTGAGTTAGAACTAATTATTATTTTCACATGCAAGTTTCTTTTTTTATTATCTCCATTTTCAGAAAAACTAGACAATTGTTTATATTATGGTAAGAAATTGCTGACGCACCCACCCCTTTTTCACATAAAGAAGGTTGCTTTCAGTGTTGTAACTTAATCTTATAGTCGCCAAATCAGGAAATCGTTATTCCTAATGATCCTGATCAGGACAATGGAACAAATTCATGAAATTATTGTATTGTCATTGGTCCTTGAGAAGAGTGCAAAATTTCAAATTAAACTGACCTTTCAAAGTGGGTAAAAATCGAGTTCAAAGATTCCGTTACATACAGGTGAAGTTAATAAGTGTGTTAAAAAAAAAGGTAGCAGAGTGCTGATGTTATTGGTATTTAATTATTACGTGTTATGCGGAATTTACTATATATCTTTAAAATAATTGATATTTATTTGGATGTGTGTATGCATGAGAACCAGTAAAACAAAGAATTTTTTAAGTCAATTCCTACTTAGGTAAACAAAGTAAATTTTGTTTTAGTTACTTTTTATGATTACAATTTTAAATAATTAGAGTTCATATAAATATCTATATACATATGGCACAGAATCCCAATATGAAAAAGCAAAAGAGAAAGCGATTTTCTTAGAAATTTTCCATTTTCCTTTCTTTATATGGTGTTGGACTATTATTTTTGTTGGTTATACGCGATTTATTCATTAATTAAATTTAATTATTCCAATAAAATAGTATAGCAAAAAGAAAACACATTTTGAGAAATTATGCCATGCCGGTCGAGATTCGAACCCAAGACCCTTGGATTAGAAGTTCAACGCGCTATCCATTGCGCTACCGGAACACAACGGGCGCTTTTTCTTTTTATATATGGTATTGGACTATTATTTTTGTTTCTATTCATTAATTCAATTTAATTAATGAATTAATATTTGAAAAAACTGTATTAACGTCAAGTATCATCCACTACAAGTTTAAAAAAATGTATTTGAATTTGAATGGATGAATAAAAAGTATTTTATCAACGATTGAAAATTTGAACAAGATTATATATATATATATATATATATATATATATATATATATATATATATAAGACATATAGGGAGAGTGTGAACTAATAGTATTAACTGACAAATCAGAGTTCGCTTAAACATCAAAATAAATTCTATGATTTGAATCGACATTTCTCAAAAATTACAATGGTAATTGTGACAATTATTAAAACATTTTGATAATTATTCCATATATTTATTTAATAAAGATTAATATGTTGTAAATATTAATAGTATAGTGGGGTTTTTTTTTCAATTACGCAAGAGAGATTTTAGCGAAAAAAAATTATTCTGTTCACACAAATCTTCTTTAAACGTAGTAAAAGGAAAATATTCCACTTTTTTTGCCTTAAAAATAGGGTCAACAGTTCCATTTACATATTACTCAGTTCGTCGATCCAATAGGGAAAAATATCTCTTCACATTATACAGGTGTCAAATGTTTTGTCCTTGAACGCTAAATATTTCAGCTTGTTCATCACTTTCATTAGCTGAGTCATTGATAGATAGCCATAGCAAGAGGGATGGGGAGTCAGATAAATCTTATTACAAAAAATTCTGTTTTGGTTTAAGCAGTTCTAATTTTTTTTTATTTTTTATTTTGAAAGGTTAGTTGTTTTAATTCTTCCGATTTTTGTAATTATTGATTATATATATAACCTCGGATAAATTTATTGAATTATTTCAAAGAAATACATTTAAAAAAACCCATTGCAACATAGTCAAAAACAAGTAATATAAAAAAAAAATTAAATCAATTCCTTCTTAGGGCAACAAGGAAAAATTTTATTTTAGTTACTTTTTTTTAAATAGTTACAATCAATATAAATATGAACATACATATGACAGAATCACAATATTAAGTGACAAAGTAGAAAGCGCGATTTTATATTTAATTTTCTAGTTTCCTTTCTATATAGAGTGTTGGACTTTTTGTTTGTTTGTTAATGTTTATCCATTAATTAAATTTAATTATTCTTATAAAGTAGTATAGTAAAAAAAGGTATCACATTCTGAGAAATTCGGCCATCCCAGTTGAGAATCGAACCCACGCCCTTTGGATTAGAAGGCCAACGCGCTATCCAATAAGCTACAGGAGCACATCGAACAATTTTCCTTTCTATAAATTCTGTTAGACTATTACTTTTGTTTGTTACTATTTATTCATTTTTTTTTTTTTTTGAAAAAATTGTATTAACATCAAGTATCATCCACTATAAGTTCTAAAAATGTATTTGAACTTGAATGAATGAATAGAAAACCATTTTATCAACGATTGAAATTTAAACAAGATATCTATATCTATATATTTTTGTAATAATTCCCTCTAGCAACCTTTTAATTAACTCTTTTTTAATAATCTTCAAATAAGCTTTTAATTCTTAGATTCAAAATTAACACCCTAATCTTAATCGTACTCAACTAGTATCATAAATCTCTTTCCCGCTCATTTTAACCAATCAGAGCTCTTGTTACAAATGAGTCACGCGATCTTCAATGCCGGCATAAAAAGCGAGTTTTTCTGTGCTCGCTCTCTCTTTTTTGTCTCCGTCTGAATGTGAAAATGTAGAAATAGCTGTAGCTCTTTTATCCCTTATGTCTTTGTGTGCTCTTATGCTTATTGTGAAGTCAAAGTATGCTTATTGTGAAAATAAAGAAGAGTAAAATGAAAAATCAGTTCTCCGCTTATTCAGAAATCACCAGCAAAAATAAACCAACACCCGGCCAACGCTATATATATACACTGTTCGAATTAATTGGGACACATATTTTTTTTTGGTATGTCATTACTAGAGATGTCCCAAACTTCTAAAACCCGTTATATCTGTCTTTAGGTAGTGTGACAGATCGACTTTGACAATAATTTATTCGTTTTATGTATCAGGAGCTCAGTTGAGAGCCTTTCAGTGGGGCAGCTGGTAGTTTCAATTTTGCGTTCTATATAACATCTGTTACTTGTACTTGTTCAAAGATGGATATTACTCTCCGGGGAACCATTCTGAAATAAATCACTCTTAATGAACACATTTCTATGACTCTGAGAAATATAGCCATGGCAGTTGGTGAGATCAAATTAAGTGTTTCAAGAATTGTAAGAACTTTTCAAGATTATGGATCATATCGTTTCTAAAGAGGAAAAGAAAAATGTGAGCGACAGCGGAAAATTACTCCAAGAATTGATAAAATTTTAATAATAAATAGCAAAATAGATACAAGAAAGACAAGAACAGACCTTTGAAGGGATTTATTGGATAATGGTTTTGAAGAGAGTACCTCAACTGTACGGAAAAAGCTTCCGGAAGGTAGCCTTAAGGCAACAAGACTGAGGAAAAAACTATTTCTAACAGAAAATGATGAAAAAACATTTAGCAATGGCTAAAAAATACCGATCGTGAACTTTTAACGACTGGAAGAAAGGGATTTTCTGTGATGAAATATTTATTTGTGCAGGGACACAAATCAAGTGTAGTTTGATGAAGTGAAATGGAAACTTTGTTACCAGATCATATCCAACAGACTGTAAAACTTCCTTCTTAACAGATGTTTGGGGTTTTTTTTCACAACAAAGGACAATGAAAGCTTAATTCCCCTTAAAGGCATCATGAATTCTGTCAAATATATAGAAATATTATTAAGTAGGATTGTTTAATTCATGGAAACATCTTGATGGAACATTTCAACATGATTTAGCCACTTGTCACAATTCGGAATTGGTCCACGCTTTTATGGGAAAAATAAAACAAAAGTGCTCGATTGGCTTGAAAATTCCCCAGACTTAAATCTTGTTTAAAGTTGATGGCATATTCTCAAGAATAGTTTTGCTAAAATGAATTGCACGACAACAGAGGAAATGATAAAAGGGTTATACTAGTGTGTTTCCACGATGTTGAAATCAAGAACATGTGTGCTACTCTAGTGGAGTAAATGAGAAGACGTGTTGAAAAGGTCATTTAGGCTTAAGGAAGACTTACTTCGTACTATTATACGGATTTTTCAATATATTTAAGGCATGTAATAATAAAAAGCTAAGGATTTGGAAAAATCACTTTTTTCCCCCCCCATTTGTCCGAATTAATTCAAACAGTATAGTATAGTATATATATTCAAAATTCTGCACTAAAGAGAGATAAATAAACAATAATTATCAAAAATGAAACAAATCAAAATTGCAAGATAGCCAGACTTAAGATTTTTGAAAGTAAATATTATATTAGAAATTAAAATAATAGAGAGAGAGAGGGAGAGAGAAAGAATTTAAAATATATAAAATATGGATGCTACAGTAATATAAACATTGCTGCCTTAGGACAGCTTTTATATATAAAATAATTTATATAAAAGTGGGTTGAACATGTTTTTAGCACAGCCACAATCTTCCTCCTTTCTGTTAATAATACTGAGCAAAGACCTATTGAAAATAATGGATAGAATATCTGAATCTATTTCAATAAAAAGGTAACTTATCTACAAATTGCATTCAAAAATGCAAAGCCCACGCTAAATTTGAGTACAATAAACAAGTTATATTGCCAGATTCTGGACTGAAATGCAAATTCAAAGCATGGAATTGGCTGAATAGAACGTCAGAAAAGTATGAAAAGAACAGAAATAAAATTTAAAAGTTTGTTTACATACTACTATTACTTAAGGGACACTAGAATTATAAATGTATTTAAATATTTAAAAAAAGGGTTAAATATATATACATATAGGGAGAGAGTGAACTAATAGTAGGAATTGAAAAACTGAGATTAAAATTAAAATTGTCTACTTTTCTTTCGAAGTTTAGTTTAAAAATATTGATTAGGAAAGAATCTAAAAAGAATTAAGTCCGCGCTTTTTTATATGTCCGTTGCTATTTACCAATTCAATTGAAACGTTTGGATTTTTCAGCAGAGTCGACTCCTGCTCAAAAGGCGAAAACGATCCAGTAATGGTGGAAAGAAAATGTGCCGAACTTAATAGAACACAAAGATTGACTTTCCAGAAGACCAGATTCAACCCCACTCGACCATAAATTGTGGTCAATATTGGAGTCAAAAGTGGACCTAAAACAGCATCCCAATGAGAACAGTCTTAAGTTGGTTTCAGGGGTGTTAAATTTCTCTAAAGGTCTGAAAATATAAACAATTTTCAAACAGGTATAATTATTTTAAATTTAAATTAAATGATTCGAATCTTCTACACATTATTTATAAAAGAATGGGACTTCAGAAAAGTATAAAATGTTTAAAATATAATAATAATTTTAAAAATCATAAGCAAAAGAAAATTCTATAATAAATTTTATGTATTTTTTACGTTGCGCACGCTATTTTCTAAGAAAGTAGCCTCTGATGTATAAAACTTCACATAGAATTATAAAATGCATCATACTCTTTAAACCCTACCTAATTTTAGTATATTATATCTTTTGTACTTCAAAATATTTGTGTAAAATATTGTAATTTTTTAAATATTTTTTAAAAATGTGTATTTTTTTTTATTTAAATATGTAAGCTATTATTCTATTTATATAAAATTAGCTACAGTGTAATAAGAAAACATTTAACTTTATAAATCAACTTATAGCTAGGAATTAAAGCTACTTTTTTAGAAAATAGCCTGCGCGACGTAAAACTTAATAAATATTTCTGATAGAAAAGTTTTTTATTTTCATATGCTTATAATTTTTAAAATTATGATTATATTTTAAACACTTTATACTTTTCTGAAGCCCCATTCCTTTATAAATATTGCATAAAAGATTCGAATTATTTAATTTAAATTTAAAAGAATTGTACCTGTTTG